AGTGAAAGGAGGCACTGGTGAGGAGGTAATACGCTATTTTTCACAACCCTTAGGCTATAGCTACTTGTTAGATCTTTCTTGCATATCTCTGTCTTCCTGAGAAACCACTTTGAAGATACCACCATGTATTACAGCAGCCATTGATATTTTTCCTACTAATCTGTCCATAACTCTAATGTTTGTCTTGTTCCTATGCTATTTCATACATGGATGTATATTTATTATTATGTGTTTCCTACAACAGCCATTGAGAATAGTTAATGATTATTCAATAGGTCACTCATGTATAGCTCTATTTATTTTCTTTAGAAGCCACTTTGAAGAGACCAAAGTATAGTACAACAACTATTGATAATCTCCTACCTCTTTTGTCTGTAACTCACTATCATTTGTCTATTTATTTTCTTGAGAAACTATCTTGTAGATAACAATATGTAAAATAACAACCATTGATAATTTCCTACCACTTTGTCTGTAATTTGGTAAGCCCCCTTATTACTATGTTATCCTTCTTTTACTCTTTAAAATAATTTTAAAAAGTAAAAAATAAATAAATAAATAAACTGGAGCTGCCATTCCCTGTGACTTGCCAATTACTTTCTGTGTGGGTCACCTAAGATAGCATGGAAACTTCTAGACCAGCCCTGATCACTTGCTAAAGAGTGCAGGGTCCTAGGGCTCATACAGTTAACACCACATAACTGCATGTGTAATTTTTAGCAAATATAAAAAGAGCACAAAATTTTTCAAAATACTATACCATTATTTATTTATAGAAAAAATTGCTAATGCCATGCTTAGTATTTGGTTTTGTGGTTCTTTTGTTGTTGTTCTTTTTTCTGGCTTAATGAATCTCTTCTTTGAAATGTTTTCCACATTAATAGAGATAGGTGAGGATAAAACAGTAACAAAATTTTAGAAAAGGTCAAAAATCTACAATATAGGGATCAGAATTTAATTGGAATCAAAATGCTAATTTGAAGAGTGTAGTCTTCCTAATTAGTAAGCATTTGCTCACCTACTTACTTGTATCATCCAAAGGTCAAATCTTACACAATAAAAGTTTGAAGGCAATATATATGAATATACACGTATGTTCTCCCCTTCTTTTTCCTTCTCTCTAACCCTCCTCCACCCTACCAACACACCATATCCCTTTTCAAAAACACAAACTTTTTCTTTCTTCTAGGATAGATTTGTGAGATTATGACAACAATACAGGCAAATGTACCCTACACCCAGTTCCCTTTTCAGCATCTTATGATAATAACCAGTACTGATGTATATCACTCACTAAGCCTCATCATTTATTCAGATTTCCTTAACTTTTATCTAATATCTTTCTTTTGTTCCAAGACCCCATCCATAACTCATTACAATTAGTCATAATGTCTCCTTAGGGTCCTCTTAGCTGCGACAGTTTCTCAGACTTACCTTGCTTTTGACGTCCTTAAATGTTTTGCAAAGTATTTTGTAGCATGTCTGTCAATTAAAATTTGTCTAACATTTTTCTCATTACCTTGGGTTAAAAGTTTTGAGAAGACCACAAAGATAAAGCACCTCCTTCTCTTCGCATCATATGAAGGGTACAGTGATTAATACAACTTACCATTGTTGATGTGCCTTATCACTTATCAGAAAGTGATTGTCAGATTCTATATTATAAAATTACTCTTTTCCCCAGCTGCTTACTGGGGAAAGTGACCATGGTGACCCTGTGGAAGTCACCATGCATAGCTCACATTTCAGGAGTAAGGAGTCACGTCTACCTCTTGACAGCCAGAATCTCTGTGAGATACTGAAACTCCGCACTGCAGGTTTGTCTGTGATCTCGTATTTATTCGTTTATTCAGCCATTTATTGCCATTGCTGTAGATTCATGGGTACAACACTATTTTTTTGTTCAACTTGTTCCAACCTTGAGCATTAGAAGCTCTTTCAGATGGCTCCTGTGCCCTTCTAACATGCCCCAATATTGTAGGATTTTTCAAACTACTTCCTCAATTTCTAGCAGGGCAAAATGCTCTAAGCTCATCTTACATATTTCTTGCCGTAGTCCTAGAATCAGCCATTTCTGTAAATGAGCACTGCTTCCCTTATTGGAGAATGGTGTCAGAAACCAAGATCTGGGCACTAGATGACCACACTATCTTTACATGCTCCCCTCCACTCTCCACACCTGCAGCCACCAACTATGCAGTAAATTAGTAGCCGCCCACATGACTGCTTGGTTTCCCAAGCAGCTGGGACTTCTAACACTCACGACATCACTGTCCAGTTACTTCTTAGACCTTTTGGGAAGAAGCACTCAGCATGTGCTTCAACCGTGGAGGCCAAGGACAGCCACAAGCTGATGATCAGATGGCGCTGGTTTAACCAAAAGCCCCTGTGACGAGGGTTCTTTGGGCTATTTGGGCCACAGGTTATCCCTCGGGGAAGGTTGCTCTCTACAATCAGGAAACACTTTCGTTGGAGTACAGAGAAGACATGTGGACAATTAGGTCCCCAGCTGTTTAAACTACTACTGATAAATGTCTCTGTGTCAGCCAGGAGGTGGCCTCTCGTGAGTTCCCACAGAGACCCACACATGTTGTCCAACATTTTCATCCACCGCGTAGGTGGAGTTGGAGGAACAAGCTTCTCAGATTTGCAGATGCTACAGAATTGTAAGTCAGTGTGATAAAGACAGAAGACGAGGCCAGGTGTCCTAATCAGCTACACGTAGGCTGAAAACAAGATGAAATGTTAACAGCATAAAAGTAAAGTTGTGTAATTGAGTTTTTTAAATCCCTTGCATAAATACAGGGTGGAAATAATAACTTGGCACCAGCTCAGGTGTAAAATATCTGAGGATTTTCACTGTGTGCAAGTTTCCTGTGAGCCAGCAGTGTGCAAGGGCTGTGAAAGAGGGGTGTACTCTGAGCTGGAGTGAGGGGCCCGGGGGCCACGGCCAGATCCAGGCCTGTCACCATCCCACTGTCTTCCCTGCTGCCTGGACAGCCACATAAGCATTGTTCTCCTTTCTGAGCACTCCACTTTTTACAGTTTTTAAAAACTTGCAGTTGACACACAATAATAGTACATCATTGTTGTGTGATATTTTGATACATATATAACTGTATAAAAATCAAATCAAGGTAACTGTCATTTCAGTCACCTCAAACATTTATCTCTTCTTTATGCTGAGTACATTCCAAAGCTCTCTTTAGCTATTTTTGAAATATATAACAGCCAGGTGTGGAGGCACCTCTGTAATCCCAGCACTTCCGAGATGGAAGGGGGAGGATCGCCACAAGTTCAAGGTCAGCCTGGACTGCATAGCATGACTCTGTTTCAAAACGAAGCAATGAAATATATGATAAATTATTGTTATCTATAGTCATACTACTGTGATACAGCTCACTGTAACTTAATCCTCCCATCTAACTGGAATTTTGTACCAATTAACCAGCCTTCCTCTCTCCTCCCGCCCTCCGCCCTTCCCAGCCCTGGGAGTCACCATTCTCCTCTCTCCTTCTAGGAGGTCAGCTTCTTTCTACATATGGTGCAAACATGCAGGATCTGCCTTCCTGCTAAGTACCACATTTTAAACAAAATACAGACCAAAGAAGTATGTGTCTGGAGGACTAGAGTAATGGATAGAACTGTGCTATTCTGTGACTAAGGAGTGAAGGGATGAGAGGTGGTCAGCCCCGTGGAGAGAAGCACTGAGATGGCCATCGCTAATGGGGAGGACAGAGCTGCCTGTCTTGTGCAGTTCTTCAAGACAGGACTCAGAACGATGGGAGCGAGTTCCCAGGAGGCAGACTGTGTGTCAGAGTGAGAAAGCGCTAGCGAGTCATCAGAAACAGCTAGCGGTATGCGAGACCTCAGGAGCAGCCAGCTCGCCACGATGCCGTATATTTGAACAGAGACTGTGCGAGCTCCAAAGATGGACAGAAAGTTGGTAGGTTTCATCACAGTGAATCCACCCACTTCCTCACTGCAAAAAATACTTATGGAGCTGATGTTTAGGCAGATTTGGTTAAGTAGAATTTATGGGCACTACAATAGGGATTTGCTTTTATAGTATTTTTCTCCTGTTACTTTCCAACCGCCTCAGTTTTTAGAAAAGCTAATCAAGAATCCATTTGGGAAGGTACAGAAAGTCCAGCCTTCTCCCAAAAAACACAGTTAAGTGTTATTACGTGATTAAAGTACAAAAAAATGCCATTTTACTGAGCAAAGCATTAACCCTGCTGGTAGAAACTGCCTTGTGCATTCCATAATGGAAATATTACTTGCCAGATTAACTGATGAATAATAGACCAGGTCTCTGGTCTTGTTCTCTGTCTCTGTCTCTGTCTCCCTCTCTCTCTCTCTCTCTCTCTCTCTTTATCTCTCCCATAACTACAGAGGAAAAGAATGTGGCCAGTTTCCCAATATGTGTTTTGTTTTCATTTACATCTGTGCATGTTTCCCCGTTTGGGGCCACCTGTCCCTGACCAGCTGTGTGCAGGCGGTATATTCACAAACTTTCAGCCAAACTAAGGATAATTCTGATCCTTAGTAGAATTTGGGTGGTTGCTGGTCGTGGGAATCGTCCTCCCTCCGCCTCTGCACAGCTGTATGTTCTAAATCACCGGAGGGAAAGATGTGTCCTAGGAAAATGAATTATGCTGGGAGACCGTAAATCTTGTCCATTCCTCACCCATGACTGTTCTCACAGCTTACAGGGCAGGGTCCATGCAAATTAGGCTCTGGTGGGAAGCACTGCAGTGAGTGCAAGGAAAATTATTGTGCTGACCCTCTTGGGCGATGCATGTATAAGTACTGGACTCTAAAACACACGAGTCAGTCAGCTGGCCCTGTCCCAGGCACACTACAGACCACCTGAGTTTCAAAATTCCTTCATTTGATTGTGTTGTTTTTAGCAGTTTGGGCTTAGTGGGAAACTCAAAGCTTTGTCCTAGTTTTGAAAGTAATATTTTTGTAACCCTGTAAAAACTATTATTTTTCTGCTAAGTTAAAATCCTGAGTCATGTTAGCCTGTTAATATCTGTAGCCTCTGTTAAAATCCCGAAAAGTCATTACAATTGAATAGACTCTATGATCATGCCTGCTACTTGGAAGCCTTTGAGGAAAGTCAGCCCCTCCGGATCGAGGTAGAGGCTGGGAGGGAGATCACAGGAAACCAGAGTGTTCTCTTCAAAGTGACTCTCAGAGCTCTGGGTCTGTGACATCAATACATCTGCCAATATTCACAGAATTCCTGCTGGGTCCTATGGGGAGTAAACAAGTAAGGTGACACCCTGTCACCTTGGAGTTTGCGTTCCAGATCCTTCATCGCATGTGTGCATACTGCACGGAAGGTTTCAAGCAGCTCTGTACGGTAGAACTGTCTGCACTGAGGGAAATGTTCCACATCCCCGCTGTCGGAGGCAGGGGCCACCAGCCATAGGTAACTCTCAAGCACGTCACTGTAGGCTCTGCAACTGTGAAACACAAGCAAGTACGCATTTTATTTTATTTTATCTTCAACAGCCACCTGTGGTTAGTGGGTACCATATGGATGGTGCAAATTTAGACTTTGGATTGGTTCTAGGAGGCAGGATTTTTGAGTCTCCGCGTAAAGTCAGCTTCCGAGGCAAGTCAATCCAATAAAGTCGAACGTGATGGGCTTCCTGTCATGGTCACCTCTATATCGCCACACATGATAACTTGCTTCTCCTCTCCATTCCTATATACATGTGCTCCTGTGGCTAAAAAATAGTACCATCATTTCCTCATCTCATTTAAATGCAAGTTCTTAATGATTTCCTCCAGGCCATACTTAACTCAGTTTTCTAGGGTGAGTTACTAATTTCAAAACCAGGGAGGAGGTCAGGCATGGTGACGCAAGCCTGTAGTCCCAACACTGGGAAGGCTGAGGCAGGAAGATCACAGTGAGTCTGAGGCCAGCCTGGATTATACAGTGGGACCCTGTCTAAAAATTTAAAAATTCAAAAAAAAAAAAAAAAACATGGAGGAGGGGTTGGGGTGTAGCTCAGTGGTAGAGTACTTGCCTAGCATGCAAAAGGCCCTGGGTTCAACCTCCAGCAGCAAAACTTAAAACAAAAACAAAACAAAGAGGAATGCTGGCCCTTGGAAGATCTGTATCAGATAGCCTCTTTTCTGATGTCCCTCTAATATTTTAATCTTATTGCCTAAAAATGCTTTTATCTTTCATAGTGAAGCAATAGAGGAAACTGCAAATTGTCAACTCAAGCCACAGATCCTACTAAAGCTCCTGGGAGGAGCGGCTGGTGAAGTGACATAATGCTGTCCCCAAGGGCTCCCTGCTAAGGGCCCTAGGCCAAATCTGAGTGTGCCGGGCAGATGACATCCAGTTGAGGAGCCTAGTGTGCTCGTCAGTTTATATTTATAATTGCCTTTATTTCTGCTCAAGCTGTCATTTTAAATCACTTGTTTCTTGCAGTGAATCCAAAGACACAAGCTAGGGCTTCCCTAACCTTCTGGAAATTGCAGTCATGGCAATAGCCTCCCCATCCTCCGTCCTCTGGCTCGATCAGGAACCTACTCACAGTGACAGGCGGCATCACCTGTTGTCATTAGTGTATGTTCACAGTGCGTGTTGTGGGTGTTGGCACATACACACTTTGCATCTTGATTCTTTTCACTCACCATCTCCTTCCCAGCTCCCCCGACACCATTCCCAGGTCTCCTTCCTGTCTCCACAAAGTCTGTCCCCCTGTTTCCTATTCCCTTCCTTTTACGTTGCTGTCAATTATTTATATTTTGGGTTTCTCATATCAAGGAAACCATGCCCTGGTTAGCCTCTGTGTCCAATTTATTTCATTATGCATTAGCATCAGGGTCCCAAGGCGCATCCATTTTCCTACACGGCTATTTTTTAATGAAGAGTTCTTCCCCTCCTCTTTTTGAGGGAGAAATCGTCCCCTTACATACTGAAGATAGCGTGGGTCAGCACACCCAGGGGGATCTGCTAAGAATCACTGTGATCCTGGGACTTCTTAGAGGGTCCCTGGCCCCGCTGAGGCAGCCATGGGGACAGCAGAGTCACCGGTGCACTGGCCACTGTTAACTCCACGTGCCTCCCGCAGACGGATGGAGAAGCCGCACATACACGCATGCAATGCAAGGAAGACAGGAGCTAACATTGTCTGTGCAGAAGTGGAATATAGGGAGGTGTGCTGGACTGTCACGGGCATCACACAGATCTCTGCAGTTGCAATATTTTTAAATGCTCACCTTAGAAACACAAGTTGGGAAGATTCTCAGGAGGGAGGAGAGGGCGTTATTCTTGAGTAGCCATCAGCGAAAGATCAAGTGACATTTTGTGCTTCTTTGCTCTTCCTTTCCAGCCTGTGACTGCAGCAAGGAAGGAACCCAGTAGCCCTTCTGTGACCAGACACGGGAGTGTGCCACGCCGGAAGGGTGGCAGCGGCCAGCAACGTGACTGCTGCGCCCGGGGTCATGGCCGGGAATTCCCTGCTTGTCTTTGATGTCATTTGTGCCTTGATCAGCAGGACCACATTGCTTCTTCCCTCTCTGAAGCAGTGCAAGGGTTAATGGGGCTGCTGCTAGCGTGGAGGTCAGCTGTGGGGCTGCTTCAGAGGCCCCGGAGAAAGCATGTCTGACATACCGAGGACTTTGGAACATCCTGCTTTCTCACCCAGAGAACTCTTTTCTTAATTTTTTTTTTAATCATCCATTTTTTAATCAACTCTTAAAAGTCAAGGATTACCGTGACTGTGAGGTAGGATTTGTGCGCCAGGAGTAGACAAGTCCTGATTTACCTTGACTCCTGCTGACTCTCTCATGTTCAGCCTTCAAGTTAGAAACTGACTTCAGGAAATCGATAAACTCAGCTAAGAACCAGGCTGGTGAACATGTTTGTCTGCCTCTTTCTCGCTTGGCTAGGATCGCATGCAGTTTTTTCCGGGTGTCATTGACTACAATGAGAAGATAATCATTAAGATGTTATTCGGAGGCCGGGCATGGTGGCACACGCTGTAATCCCAGCACTTGGGAGGCTGAGGCAGGAGAATTGCTGTGAGTTTGAGGCCAGCCTGAGCTACAAAGTGAGTTCAAGGGCAGCCTCAACTGCATAGTGAAACCCTGTCTCAAAAAGACAAAAAAAAAAAAGATGTTACTTGGGCAAATGGAGTGTAGCTTAGCGGTGGAATGCTTACCTAACAGACAAGCACTGAAAAATTAAAAAACAAAGTTAGGTGGGAATATCATACCCAGCAGAACTCAGACATGAAATTAGAAGTGTTTTCTAAAAAGGACAGTGTATGCTTCAACAATGCCCCTGGGTAGGGGTCAGCAAATATAGTTCACAGGTCAAACCTAACACAGGACCTGTTTTCGTGGGTGAAGTTTCTTTGAAACATACCCACGCCCATGTGTTTACAGCCCTGATGCGGGGGTGATGGCAGGCACCAGAACTCCTGAGGACAGAAGGCTACTGGCCTGCTCTGAGCTGAACCAGGATAGCAAAATGTCCAACTTCCCCTGCTTAAAGGGTGTATTCACCATCCACATGGACCAATGGTACGTGTGTGTGTGGAACGCAGCAAATTGAAGTAGGGCAGGGTGTGCAACATCAAAGAGTCGGTGACGGACAAGAACACACCCAGGTACACTCGCCAACAAGGGAACCTCCTTGCCACATGAGAAATAAAAAGACCCTCACCAGAATCTACACTGAAACGAAACTGGTTGGATGTGGATTTATTCAGAATGAAGAACTGCTCTTACCCCAGGCCGGCTAGGTGCTCTGTTTTATCATGTGTTGAAAGCCAAATGCAGCCCACTCTCTTAGACTGATTTAAATGAGCCGTATCCGATTCTGAAAGTTTTGAAATGCAAAACAAAGGAAGAGAAAGCATAAAAGCTTGAAATTGAAAGATTTGAAAACCTTTATTCTGCTAGAACTTGTAGGGTGGTTACAGTTTAAAAGAGCATTGAAATATTCCAGGAAGTTGAATAAAGAGGAAAGAGGTGAGCTCTAAACAGGATCATAAACCAAGATGAAAAGTTGTGTACAGAGTCCCTTCCAGCTCTTCAACTGCCCTAATAATAAGGACCCTAATAATGAGGGCAAATTTCTGTGGCGTGCTCTTTCTACCAGTGTATCGAATGTAATAAAAGCTTAACCACATCTACCCTCATTTTCTCTGACAGAAAACAGATCTAAGGGAAGAACTGAATGCAGCTAAGGGAAGAACTGAAACCAGTGTATGAATTTCAAGATCTGCAAGAAACCACAAGAAGTCTGAGGAGGGAACAGATCTCTTTTTGGAACAACTGTGGGAGGAGATGAATTTCCAGTGCAGCGTGCTGAATGCCAGCATCGTGGGTGAAAGCGAGAATGTGCTGTTTCCACATGGAGTTTAGCAACCTCCAAGGTGCATCCCCCGGTGAGCCACACGTACCCACCTCCATGGCGCCCGAGCACCTCAGAACGTGAAAATGCACCCAGCAGAGGCATTATGTCTACATGGATATCTCAACTTTGTAAACATTACAGAGCCCAGATAGCATCTGCTCAAAATAACAAATAAGGGTAAAATGTCTGATGCTAAACAAATATTAAAACCCACAGTAATCTAATACCAAGCTTTGCAACAGTCTTGAGTAAGCAGCAAGTTAGAAATTCTAAGGCGGCCGTAAGTAATGACAGAGGCACGGTTCTATGCCTTCCTGGTTATAAGCCATTCCGTTTCCAGCAACCATAAATGCAAAGGAACATGGCAAAAAGAATTGCACTCATTTCTCATAGGAACTTTGTAGAAATTGAAGTTGTGGAGCAGATTAGAAGCCATTAATTCATATGACTTAGTTCTTAAAACAGAATGTGAGCACGCTTGTAATCACTGCACTCTGGGAGGCTGAAGCAGGAGGATCACAAGTTCAAGTTCAGCCTGGTCAATTTAGTGGCTTAGCAACACCCTATGTCAAAATTTAAAAGTAGAAGGTAGGAGTCTGGGGATGTGGCTCAGTGCAAAGGCCCTAGGTTCGTTTCCTACCACAAAAAAAACCACAAAACAAAACTAACAAGTATGAACCCCTACCAATGCCAAAGTCAACTTGGAGGAGAAATGGAAGTCTAGAGCACAACCTTGATTAGTTCATCTTTTGTTTAAGATGACAGCTGTTTTTATCTGGAAATGGACAACTTGTTACCACTAAGAGAGTACTGAGTTCATTCACACTCACCTGTCTAAATGAGAGGTAATTGGGTGTGGTGGTGCACGCCTGTAATCCCAGCACTCGGGAGGCTGAGGAGGATGATCGTTGCAAGTTCAAGGCCAGCCTGGGCTACAAAGTGAGCTCAAGGCCAGCCTGAACTGCATAGTGAGACCCTGTCTCAAAAAGACAATAAATACATAAATAAATAAATAAAAGAGGTAAAGGGAAAACATACATGAGTCATGTCAAAACACAAACATGGGTGGCTTTGCCTTATCCTATAAGTACGTGCCGTTTTCATCTGATTGTGATCTGAAGAGAAAGAAAAAAATAGCAATGAGGAATGCCTACTTGCCCTAAAGGAACGCTTACATTTAGTGAGACTAATTTTAGCAAAGATCTAGTAATGGTGAGCATAAATGCCATGGGAAGAGTAAAGAATTTAGTCTGATTACCAGTCTGAAATACGGTGTCCCCTGAAGGCATTCAGGGTCCACAGGGGTCGCCCCGAGGCTGGTGGCATACACAGGGGGTCTGGCAGCAGTTACCGAGCTCTCTTGATGCCTGCCGCTGCTCTGGGCAGTTCCTATGACAAGGACCTGCTCTTGAGTTATTCCTGTCCCCTCCAGGACACAGGGCAGAAACGACCCCGAGCAGCATGAGCAGCTGCTCTGGAAGCAGAGCACCAAGAAGGGAATTCTTTGGGGCTGGTGAGGAAAAGCATCAGTGAATAGGCGGTAAGTGAGTAGAGGTTTACAAGACAGAAAGTCGTGCCAGATAAGTAAAAGCAGAAAATCACTCCAAGCAGTAGGGACCTGTTTTTATTTATTTATTTATTTATTTATTTACTTATTTTGGTCTTTTTGAGACAGGGTCTCGCTATGCAGATCAGGCTGGCCTTGAGCTCACTTTGTAGCCCAGGCTGGCCTTGAACTCGCAGCGATCCTCCTGCCTCAGCCTCCCGAGTGCTGAGATTACAGGCATGCGCCACCACGCTCAGCTTGTTTTCATTTTTAAAATAAATGAAAAAGCCTCTGCGTGGCAAGTGCAAGGTTCTGAGTTTGATTCCCAGTTCAAAAAAAAAAAAGAGTATAGGACCATAATAAGTACCAAAAAAGCTTAAAAGATAAGATGTGGTTGTCTCAGGCCTGGATCACGAGTGTGCAAGGAGTGGTCAGGAGGTGGGTTGCTGCATTCTAAAATATGAGGTTCTAGTTTAACTTCTGCGTTCTAGTTGACCCTAAAATTACCACACTGCTTTCATGGATGTGTGTTTTATTCAAATATGGAAGAGGGAGGTGCTTGAACAACACAGGTTGTAGGGCCAAACCCCCTGCTTCAAATCCTGGCTCCCTCTCCCGCTGTCGCTGAGATCTTGGGCAAGTAACTTCCCTCACCAGGGCCTCGACTTCCTCATGCATAAAGTGAGGGTGGTCTAGTAACGCGCGGCGCGTGCTCGGTCAGGCCCGGGAAGAACGCTGATGGGATGTTCAGGCGTGTGCAAAGCCCTCGCTGGGTCTCACCACAACCTGGGCTCTGGGACCTCAGCCTGAGGACCACTCCAGCCGCCTTCTTTTCCTGGGATGCAGCTGTACCTGGGGCTGCTGTCCTCCCCGCGGCAGAAGACCGCACCCAGACAGAAACGCTATGCCCGGCAACGCCTACAGCATCAGTTCGCCGGCCTTCGCAGAAATAGTTGTTAGGTCCCAGTCTAGGTAGTTAACTGCACTTACTGGTTTCACATGCTACCGCTTACATCGGTATTTTAATTAATTCCTTACATTTCTGGCACACTTTACAAAATATTCTCATATTATCTCATTTAATCCTTACTAATTATTATCACCAATGTACAGATAAGGAAACAAAATCTAACAGATTAACTGGTTTGCTCAAAGACATAGCCAGGAAGTAGAGGGCCGGGCCAGGACAAAGCCTGCAGCCTGCGCCATGGACTTCAGTGTCAGTGCTGTGTCCTGTCTGTACCTATCCCACGCCATCAGTCCGTCCCCCATTAAATGCGAATTTAAGGAGGACGATGTTGAAATTTTGTAATGAAAATTAGAGCCAGAAAGGAGCTAAATTGTGCAATGATTGGCCGGCTAGCTGATATATTAGTCATTCGTTTTCACAAAATGTATCTTACCTTGATTCGCGCTGGTGTAGACTGCTCAGAAAACATCAGGAAGTATTACCACACATCCTCATCTGCTGAGAAGAAAGCTAACAAAGCTCATTCCATCATGCTATACTGGTTTTTTTTGTTTGTTTCATTTATGTTTTGTTTTTTCCGGTACTGGGAATTGAACTCACGACGTTGCGCTTGCCAGGCAGGTGCTGTGCCGCTGAGCTAAATCCCCAGCCCCTCATTCCATCATAAATTACTCTACAAATGCCAGGGTCTGCTTACTTACCATTTTAGATACACTGACCCCAAAACAAAACTTGTTGGAGAAATTAAAGCAGATTAAGACTGCACATGGTGGCACACCCCTGTCATTCCAGCATTTGGGACGCTGAGGC